TCAATCAATAAACAGCAGCTGGTGCAGAAGATGCACGTAGTGCAAGCATCTGTCCTCACTAGGAAAATATCCACGAATAAGCAGGCACTAGTCTCTTTACCAAAGGCCAGTGGCCAAAGGCAGAAGGGGTACTGGGTCTTCCTGGTTCCACTCTCTGCATCTCAGAGACTGTGACACTTCCTTAGTCAATGGGGCAAGTGCCTGTCAGGTATGTGCCTAACGGCCCAGTAGCCATCACAACAGAAATACGGAGACGTATTTAAAAATTGCTGCCTTCCCTATCACTTTGTAATATAGCAGGTTTCTCCCCTAAAACCATAGTATCATAGACAGTAGTCACAATCCTGACCATCCAAGAAAGGCAGATCTAGCTCACGCTACAAGATCTACGGCATGGCTTCAAAAGTCCTGTATTTCCACCTGAAAACTAGTTTGCTATAAAAGATACTATAACAGTAACGCTGTTCAATTTCAACATGGATAAATATGTATTTGTGGATTTATGCGCAAAAGGACCACTTGGGCAGCATTTAATCTATCAAGAATTATTGTCAGTTCTAAACAAACACTTAGAATACAATTCACTTCTAAACTGGAGACTGCCTACAGTATATAAATTTAGTTGATGAGTCACAGACTAATAGTTCAAAATTACTAAAATTTCCAATTAAAGTTCAAGACTAGAAAAACAAAATCAGCAGTTGGGGTAATTCAAACTTCAAAACTGATCACAAAATATAACTTGTAATTTATATGATCTAAGCATCAGTAGGATACGCACTGAAATCTGCAGTTAGAAACAAAAAGTGAAGATGTCACAAAGTGTTTAGTCAAGAACAAGTACATAAGGCTGGCTTCAGCTCTCTCACCAAAACACTGGACAGAAAAACATCATATACAACTAAAAATATTGAGATATTGGGATGTCATTCTGAAAATAAACAGAAACAAGAAATATTTTAAAAAATTATCAAATGCAGACTAGAGTAGCAGTCAGAGAAAAACATTTTTACTGGGAAAATATAGCTATTTTGTTCTCATTAAGAAACAACATTTTAAAGACTACTTTTTTCCTGCAAGAAATAACTAATAGCATTATCTTCTAACAAAAAAAGGTGTTAATTCCTAATTAGCAACATTCCTTGGTATTCCTAATTACTAGAAAATAAAAATTAAAAATTCAAGTTGGCCAGGTGTTATTCCTAGCATTAGTAATTCCTTTCATTCTACTGATTTCTTTAAGGGAGCGATTCTCAAGTAGAAGTAACCCATCAGAATTAACTGGGGACCATCCTGAAAATACACATTTCCAAATGTCATCCCTCAGAAATGACTCTCCATGTCTGGAGTGAAGTCACAATAGCTATGTTTTGAAAAAAATTTCCCCAGTGATTCTGACTGCTGGTTGAGGACGACTGCTTTAAGAGATGAATTACCTACTTGTTCTACCAACTAGAAGAGATCTTACTCGGTTGACTACTGCTGAAACTTTGTCCTTATAGCACACACAGCTGTCAGTGGCAAAGAGGAAAACTCCACATTTCATTACTTACAATAAAAAGAAAAAATGAAAAGAGATCTGGCAAGATTACTCAAGGAACATGCAACCATACTTGAAAAGACTTTTTACATATTTATTTTAAAGTGTTCATTTAGGACAAATGGTTTTGAAAATGTATAAAAATAAATTATGTATTAAACCATCTTCAGTATGTACATGGTCCCTTAAAAGGATTTATATTTTATCATCATGAAAAATGTATTTCAACAACCTCCACAGTATTCTTAAAAGTTAGGAATTTTAAGATTTTCTAATAGAAAACTTTTAGTATTCACTGGCAGAAAAATAATGAAACTTGGAATGATTTCATTAATATTTCAAAATATAATACTGTCTTGGCTATGTTATGCCATATATCACAAGAAAAATCTTCATCACTAAACTATACTAATCCCAAGTGGTGGCATTTCCATTTAAGAACAAAGCACAAAAATATTTTATAAAAGAAAATGTCTCATCATAAAAACTTTCAAAGCTGAATGCTTTAAACAAAAATAGCTGAGGTTTGATTTCACAATATCAAGTTACCATAAGCACTTTGTAAACATACACCTATTACAGGCTATCAACTTAATCAGTTATCACTAAAAGAAGATATAGTAAAAAGAAATTTCAGTGCAAAAGCATTTATCAACTAAATTTATCAACTGACTTAAGACAATTTTAATATAAAAATCACAATTTAAATCCCATAATATAAAGTAACCCTATAAAAGTTTAAAATTTTTAAATTAATTTAAAAGAAAAACCTCTACAACAGTTAGCAAGTTTTCCTTTTGTTACTATTCTCTAGTAAAAGCTTTCTTTTGATTAGCTTTCACAATGTCATCAGGAGATGCTGATTTGAAGTCAAATGGTGTTATTGCTATAAGAGGACTTATTTCCTTGTCTTTTACGTCTTGAACTTGTCTACTATAAAGAAAAGTCTTATAGAGATCAAAGGTGCGTCGCTTGCAGCTTTTCAATGGGTAACGAAGACACAGGGTTGAAGCGAAAGCTGACGGTCTGGCAGCAAGGGCCTTGGTCCAAGAGAGAGAAAAAGGTGGTTTCCTAGGCAGAGAGCTTTTACTGTTTCTCTTATTATCCTTAGCAGAATTGGAATTTTTCCCTAATTTTGAACTCAGAACTTTAGTTTCTGGTATTGGAGCAACTGATTGGTCTACTACAGGTTTGGGAACAAAGTCTGGGGATTTTATGAGGACACTAAGATCAATATTTGAGTCTATTCCAGGTGACCTCATTTCAGATAAACCGAGCATACAGGAATCTTTCTTAATCTGAGGGTTGTCTATGTCAATTGTTTCTGCAATCAAATCAGAAAGTGACAAATTCTCAAGGTCTCTTGTTGGAGAAGGTTTACGAAATGCCAAAGATGACAGAGATCCTGTTAACTCTGATATTCCAGTTGAAGATTGATACCGATTTGCTAATTGTGACAAGGGAAAAGATCCCAAACTGAGATCTGTGAAACTGGCAGATGGTTGGTGACAAAAATCAGGTAAAGTAGAGCACTGGCTTGGATTGTTTTCCTTGTGTTCCTGAAACAATTCAGCTAGGGATGGACTTTCACACTGAGAAAACTGCAAGTTGTCATTCTTTAACAAGCAATTCTTGTTGCTTTGTTCAACTGAAGAAACAACTCCAACTTCAGTCGTTTTACTAGCATTTAAATTATCAACAGCCATATTTTCCATTGAGTTGGTTAAGAGCAAAGGATTACTTAAACTTCCTAAACTGTTCTGTACTGGAATGTTTTGCAAATCAGGTACTGAATCATTTTGAATAAATAATGAGTTATTAGGTGCCCTGTTTTTTATCATTAATGATTTTAAATCTGGTATGCCTTTGAAGGCAGAATCATCTTTGGAAATACACTCAGACACATGAGGTCTTAACAAATCACCATCTAGACTCTTTGAAGGTAGACTCTCCACACTATCTGTGGATGGTAATCTGACTGATGGCGGACTTTTATAAGAATCTCTTGGCATATCATCAATTAGGTCAGCTAGGGACAGCTCTTTTGTTAACTTACATGATTCTAGTTTCTTTTCACTTTTAGATCTGTCAAGTTTCTTTTTTTTATGGAGTAAATAGTGACTTGGTATAACCGAGGAATTATGATATAATCCATATTTTGCTACTGGGCCAGAAAAATCAAAGGATTTGCTGCTGCAATCCAAATGGTTTGCAGACTGAGGACAAGAGCTGTGAACATTATCAGCTGAAACTTCAGAGGAAGATAATAAGACTCCTTACCTTACAAGAGCCATTAATTTTCAGATGAATAGGTTGACATATGCAGAAGACAGTCACAGCAACCAAAAGGAAACATGAAACGAGGCATTTAATTACTAAATGTTTCTTTTGATTATGACATGAATAAAGTGATACTTGATCATTCTTTAATAAAAAGTGAACACTAAAAAAAAAATAAAGGATTTTACCTTCCTTTAACCATCATAAGTGACCTTCATACTTTGTTCACTGATACATACAAAGGTAATTACCAAGTTAGTAAATCTGCTAATATTTACAAATTTATGTGAGATTTTAAGTTATTCATAATCAAATTCAAAACATCTAAAGAATCAATGGAAAGAACTAGGTTCACCTATATTTTTAATGTATTAAAAACAGGTAAACAAATAATACCATATAACTTCCACTGTGATCTGGGGTAACCTATTAATATAGCTGTCACATTATAGACTTATACTATTGGTCAGTTAAAAGTGAATCCCAGTGCCCCCCCCAAAATTAAAAAAATTTCATTTACATAAAAACAACCCTTATTTCATAGTAACAGGCTGCACACAATTTCACTGTGGCAAAAATCTAGACTCTGGGTTATAAGAAATATCAACCCAGTTAACAAATCACCATGCTTCTACTGACAGATACCAGTTAAGATAATTAGTTCCTTTCTCATGTGGCCTGTTATAAATTTAACCTCAAATTCTAAACATTTAAAATTAAAGATCTGGCTATGAAATGAAAGAGTACTAGAATTATAATACTTAGGATATTTAAGGAAAACTAAATTATATTCATAAAATGCTATAAGCATAGGAGGGATTTTTTTGACATTGTCTGGCTATTAATTTCCATCTCCCAACCCTTTAGTTAAAAAAAACCCACCAATAATTAAAAAGATCTTCAAGACACTAACAAGAAGCAAAAAGTGTTTTGTCTTGCTTTTATCTAATTTTATTTCCCTTATATTCTTTCACTTGCAAAAATAAGCAGGGAAATGATCAAAAAATAGGCTTTAACAGACTGAAGAGAACACGGCCAATCAGCTTAAAAATTCACAAACTGCAAAATCAACTGATAACATGTAAAAATTTCTGCCCATTTTTCTTAACAGCTCGATCAAAATCAAAGCCTCTTTTAAAGCATTAACTGCAAAACTAAAAGAGAACAAGTAAAAGCATACCTTTTGCTATTTTTCCTGTAGATATTGCTCCCTCACTCCTGACTTTCAAATTCTGCACTTTATCTTGCTCCAGAACCACTGACAAAGCCTTCTGCACATCAAACTTGTTCTTCAGAACTGCTTCAACCAATACGTCATCTGGCACAGCATCTCCAAGTACCTCTCTCATGTGATCAAGGCATGAATAAAGACGAGCTAGAATAGACAACAATAATTAAAAGCTATACTCAGTGGTGTCATGAAAGATCCCTGAATCTTCAAAACTGAAATAAAGGATTTGAATTTACAGTAGGATGTTCATTTCTTGTAATTTGCCTTGGCAAAAATTACAATGATTATATTTTTATCCACAATATACCTAGATTCCCTGATCAGAGGAACAATTTCAATAACTACTATAATAAATGTCTCCAAAGTAATACTGATTAACGCTTGAAAAAAGTGTCAATTGTGACTCTTCCCGCAATGCAGGAGACGCAGACTCGATCCCTAGATCAGGAAGACTCCCTGGAGGAGTGCGTGGCAACTCACTCCAGTATTCTTGCCTGGAAAACCCCATGGACAGAGAAGCATGGCCGGCTACAGTCCATAGGTAGCAAAGTCAAACATGACAGAAGCAACTGAGTATGTACCCACACACACACAAAGTCTATTTCAGTCAATGAGGATGATGAGGTCCATACCGATGATTTTTTACATGCGTAGAAAGGGTTAATTTTGAAAATATTTCTAACTTACTAGTGAATGGACAAGATAACTTGGTACAAAAATGCCATAAAAATTAGGAAATCCAGTAGATTAATGAAGAAAATGAACATTCATTTTAAACACAAACATTTAAATCTGGGTGACTAAAATCTTTAAGGATGTTTATTTTCTGATGACTATTTTATAAAAAGTAATTACTAATAATATTAATAATGGAAGTTCCATGAGAGCAAAGGCTTTATATCCCTAGATCTTAAAATAGTATGTGAGACTACTGAATAAAAATGCATGAATATATTAACTTATATTTGTACAGCAGTTGACAATATTAAAAATACTTTACTTATACACACACACACACACACACACACATCTTCTGTAATCCTCACAGTAACTCTATGACTTAGATATATCAAACTGCAAGTCATAAAGAGGACTGAAAATCATCGCACTACTTAGTTTAGCAGTAATCAAAATAAAACTCAAGTTTTCAGACTCCCTAATCCATGAAATCAGTCCACAGAATGCATTTTACATTACATTTTACATGCTTACATACTGAACAAGGCATCTACTGGCAATATCCTTTTTTTCCCCAAGTATGTAACACTTTCTCCACTGCTCTTTTTTAATTATTAAAAGTAAATTCTTCAAATATTTGGGTAATTCTGCTTTCCTTTAGTCCAAAATTAATTTTAGGCTAATGAGATAAACTTGAAAAATTATACCTATTTCATAAAGACATGAATTACTAAAACTGGAACAGAATACTTAGTATATAGCTAGCATCATGGTCTATTCTAATTAATTATGGCAACTGTTGTCCACACACACACAAACGGTAGAGATATGGAGTCAGGCTATGTTGGTTCATACCCAAATGCCACTTACTAAGCAGTACAACTGCCCCCAAGTGACTTGGTGTCTCATTTTCCTCCCCCACAGGATGAGGACAATAGCTGGCCTATCTCACAAGGTTGTCATGAGGATTAAATATGTTAATACATGAACAGCACTTAGAGCAGTACCCAGAAAGCAATTAGTAGAGGCTAGTTACAATCACTATTGTTAGCATGCAATTTTTTTCATGCAATTATTAATACTTACATATGTCAGGTGGGAATGATTAACTTTCATTCTCAAACATAACTCTGAATTTCATACCTCCTTAATCACTCTGAGGTACAGCAGAGAAAGCATAAGACTTCTACTTTATTCCTACCTTCTCCCCCCCTACAATGACAACTGTAAACATTCTTTGAAAATATAATCAAAACTATGGAGGAATTTATATAGCAGCTCCTTTATGAGCTTTTATCCCACTTGCCAAATGTGTCTGCAAAGTTGATAAAGAAATTTTTTAATTCTCTGTTGTTTCCCTTTCTGCTTTCTAATTTTGTCTGTCTGTGCTTTCCCTCCATTTTTCTTGGTTTGGGTAGCAGCTGACATATACTGTACCCATTTATGCAAAGATCTACTCTCAGATTTATATACTCCCTCCTTCCTGTTTTCAAATTATTATAAATTTTATACTGTTATCAATTTAAAAATATTCATAGAACAAAGCCAGAGAAAGAGCACACTCCAAAGAAGAAGCAAACGAGCTGAGCCCCGCTCAGCGCCAACAGACAGCACTGCTTTTACACCTGGTGACTCTGGTCCTACAACACTATTCATCAACCTGTGACTGGAGCAGTGTGTCTGAAATATGTCACATTTGAAATTTATTTATAAAAGACAAAAGCCAAAATATAAAATATCTTTGTTAAAATGTTTAAGAGAACTAAAAAGAAACAAACTCAGAACCAAAGCCATTATTGTTTACAAGTTCTATCTTGAAATTTAATTTACATGACTGCGACCAATCAGGACATTTGTATAGTGTCACTCTGCACTTTTTTTCCATAAAAACCAGTCGTTCGGAACCTAACATTTTGCAAGGAAATGAGCTTCTGTAATCTAACCATAAGCTCTACACAGAGCTTATAAAACAATAAATACTGATAAAAGAAAACAAATCACAGAAGTTTCTCTCCTAAGGAGATTTCAATCACAAATTCCAGTTACTGAATAACAGCCACACAATCAATTTTTCAACCATATAGTTAACCATACAGTCTTCACAGAACATAATTAACAAAATGTAAATTTTTGTTGAAGATGCAAGATATAATGGTAGTTCATACCATCACTACCCATGATCAATATTATGAACAATAAAACTGATAAATAACATTGGTAAACTTCAGTAAATTATTAATCATTTTCGGATAAGAAACATACTAATTCTTACTATACCTTGATCAATTCCACTTAGCTGATGATTCACAAGAGAACTGGAGAATTCTTTCAAATCTTCATAATCATATTCTTCTACGGGTTCAACAGCTGAAGGTTTGTCACGCCGTGAGTAAATAAACTGAGCAGCTAGAATATAAAATGATGGAAGAATGCTGTGCTATAACCATTTCCCATTAACTTTTTTTTTTAAACAACACAAAGTAAAAATTAAAGATTCTGACCTCCTACCTAAAGTCATTTGCCCAGAGTCATAATAATGGATGAAAAGAGAAAAAAACTAAGACAAAACATATCATACCCTAAATTCTGCCCAAATGTCCTTACTAACCATTTGCTAATCTCTTCTAATTGTCTTCATTCTTTTCTCCTATTTCATAAACACTGAGCTTACTTTCTCCACAGTTCTCAAAAATTATCTTTCCTAATATCTCATGTTTGCTGAGTGCCGAAGAATTGATGCTTTTGAACTGTGGTGTTGGAGAAGACTCTTGAGAGTCCCTTGGACTGCAAGGAGATCCAACCAGTTCATCCTAAAGGAGATCAGTCCTGAGTGTTCACTGGAAGGACTGATGTTGAAGCTGAAACTCCAATACTTTGGACACCTCATTCAAAGAGCTGACTCATTGGAAAAGACCCTGATGCTGGGAGGGATTGGGGGCAGGAGGAGAAGCGGATGACAGAGGATGAGATGGCTGGATGGCATCACCGACTCAATGGACACAGGTTTGAGTAAACTCCGGGAGTTGGTGATGGACAGGGAGGCCTGGCATGCTGTGCGATTCATGGGGTCGCAAAGAGTTGGACATGACTGAGAGACTGAACTGAACTGAATATCTCATGCTTGCCTACTACTCTAGCTTCCCTGAAATTTTCTTCTCTGTGGTACAAATATTTTAAAACTCATATCAAATTTGCTCATTTGCATAATTAAGAATACTAAAAACAGGCTAGTTCAATTTTCACTTTCCAGGAACTACTAATTTTGCTTGAACCCAAGAGCTGACCAAAATCATAGGCTTTAACTTTTAAACAATTTATACTTCAATCATACACTGACACTGTATATTAGTGCCACATACCTAACTTTCAGACAGAAGTCTGTGCTACTCTGCATACTGGCAATGTCATTACTCAACACATAACTGCGCATTATATATTTCATTAAGAGGCAGAAAGACAAAATATCAAAGTGACAACATATGTTTGAATATCATACACAAAAATACAAGTGACCAAAGGAGAAAAGCATCAAGCATGTCCAAAGTGTTCACTCTTCCACATCAACTGGATGCCCACTGAATTTCAAGTGTTAAGTGTCAAATTAAAGTGTTAAGTTTAAGAAGGATAAAAACATCAATACAGTTTTCTAAAGGCAAGGTGTCATCAGAGATTTCACATTATTTAGCTTTCTGGAAGAGCACATAACACGCATCTCTATTGCTCAGCATTCCCACTTTTGACTTCTGGGCATGTTTTCAGGAAAGCACCACCCATAAATGTAAGGAAATCTAACTACATTCAAAATTTATAGATAGTGCATATACAGACAATAGAAAATACTACAGCTTAGTGTGACACCTACACTCAGAAAGCTATGGTGTAATTCATAGTATATGAATAAAGCTAATAAATAAAATAAAGCTATGATTTATTCATAGTATAAATCAACGATGGCCTGACAGATTAGCAGGAAAAGCAAAAAAAAAAAAGGCAGTGACAAATTTTAAAAAGCCAAATAATTAGTACAGATGACAAGTGCGACAGAAGTACGAAAGATTAAGTGATCACTGAAGACTGGAGCACTTACAATAAAGAAGGCAAGAACAGAAGAAGAGAAATGCAGAGCAGCTAAAAGAATTTAATCTATTCTGCTATAATGCATGTTTCCTTAACATATACTAGTTTATACCAAATGGTCAATAGGGGAATGAGGGTATAACATTCAAGATGCTTTCATTTATGAGATTCTCCCCACCCCCAACACTTTGTAAGGCAAATACGAAGTTCAACCACAGAGCATTATACTGTAATTGGAATTGTACTGTAAAGTTAGACAGCCCCACACTTGTCCTCTTGGCCAAACTTGGACACAGTTTGGCCCTGTGTCCTGTTCTGTGCTTGCTTCCTGCTTGGCTCTCTAAGACCTGTCAGCATTTTGCCTTTGCAACATCACTCATTAGTTTCAACTCTTTCTACAGGTATATCAAGCTTTCACCTTGCAAACATGTAACAAAATGTAAACATTTATCAAAAATATTTTGTTAAATGTAAAAAGATACATTGTTAAATTTAAACATTTAACAAAAACATTTCCTGGATATTCCAGCAAACTTTCTTTGGAAATTAATAGAAATTTCTAAATATGCAAGCATTTTTATTAGATGATTTTTTTGTTTTATTAGTACTTTATAGGCTGAGTGATCTGTCATGACCCTGTTTTTTCCCCACAGGCTTTGTTATTTTTTAGTATACAAATTTGAGGACTGCAGTTTTTCAAGAATGCACATATTATGCTGTATATATATATCACCATTTCCCCCATCCTGCACAAGTAAAATACAATATTGCCATTATAAAGTCAGCATGGTTAAATGGTAGGAAAAATATCCTATTTCACAGATTTTCTAAGATGATCACTGTTTCACATAAAAAAAAAAATCTCAGAATGAGGGATATGTCTTACAATCAAGTGCTATCTTAGTATTATGTAATACTTAGATTGACAGCTGATTTTTTTAACTGGTATGTAAAGTAACAGTATGTCTCACAATCTATGGCATCTTAGATACAATAAAATGTGGTAGTATTAAAAAATGTAAACCATGCCATTTTGTGCTCGATGATTTTCAAATTACTTTCCTGGCTGTAAACTGTATTCAGTTTAGCCTTAAGGTAACAAATATACTTTCCCCAACTTCCTCTCATAGCTCTGAACTGTAAGGAAAAACCTAAGACAAATCAAAAATTAAGTGAGAGAAGAAATCAGATACTTCTATCAACAATTTTCACTTAGAAAATATTGACAAAGAAAATGGAAGTTGTCAAAATCCAGGCTTCCACTCTACCTCCAAGGAGCTATTCTTCCTGGAAGGTTTTCCTACACCCTCCCAAACATAAATCCAACTCAGAAACCTATATTGTGGCCACTGTTTTAGAAGTAAATGATGGCTGGATTTGTTGAAGAGTGGGGAGAGAGAGTGGACAGGAAAATTCCCCAGGGACAATAGCTACCGGGGAAAAAAGAAGCATCCAGACCTCTGAAATTGAAATGAGAGCCAAAAGGCAAAAAAAAAAAAAAAAAAAGTGAGATAAAAGCAATGGAGAGAAAAGGATAAATATAAAATGCTCTTCTATTCTAAAAATTTAAATCACAAACTTTGACAGAAACGCTTTCTGAAAAACTGAACACCATAATGACTTGCAAATTTTTCAAGTGTTCTGATAAACACAAAAATTCAGAGAATTCAAAACCCTGACTCCTGAAACTGCCTAACACTGTTTCCTAAATATAAAATAAAAATCATGTGAGGCACTCATTAAAGATACAGCTTTCTAGGCTTCTTCCCCTGGAGATTCTGGTTAAGTGGTGCTAGAATGAGGCAGGGAATCTGTATTTTTAGAAAACAATTGCTCAGCTGACTGGTATCATCAGAGAAGGTGGGAAACAGCTTACACGGCTCCCCTTTCATCCAAATGTAGTCCACTTTGCTTACCATCATCAGTTAATTTCCTAAAACGTGACCCCTTAATTAAAAAACCTTCAATAAACTGACATTACACAGCTAAAATTAAAAACTGCCTTCCACAATCTGGCTATTTCCTTTCCAAGTCCGCTTTGTGCTCCAACTGCATTCATCATATGAGTCTTCCCAAACACGCCTCACTTAAGAGACCACTGTTCAAGCACTGTTGTTTCCTTTCTCTAGGATGCCACTCTTACTCCCAAATTCACCAGTTCCAATTCCATCTCCTTCCAGAAATCTTTCCCACCTTCTTCAGGCAGGACTATCTCTTTACCCACCATATTATCATTTGAAGGGAATTTTTAACAAGCTTCTTTACAAGTTAACTGATGCTCAGTAAAGGTTCTGAGTTGGAATGGACTGAATAAGGATATCTACTTTTAAAGTAATCATACAAGGAGGTCACGAGACTGAAGTGCCTCTAATGCCTTGGCTGCAAAGGTAAAACCAATCCAGAGTCAATTCCTGTAAAGGCCTCAGGATTAAGAGCATCCAATCACAAAAAGCCAATTATTCTCTCACAAATAATGTGTTTTAAGCTGTAAGCCAATCAAATAATTTCCTTGCTTTGTTTTGTGTATTCTCTATAAAAACCCTGCCCCAACTTCTGTTGATGGAGTGCTCCTAACCACTTCCCATTTGGAGCTGATTCAAATTGATGCTTGCACAAATAAACTCTGAAAAAAAATTTTAGTTAGCCTCAGTTTATCTTTTAACACTTCTAATTATATTAGTTGAAACATGATTAAAAACTGTAAAGTTCTATTTACAGGCTCTTTTTGCTATCTCTTTTTTGCTATCTTTTTGCAGCTCCCTAACATAAGTTAAATATTCAGTATCAAAGCAATATTCAGTCAATCTTTCTAAAGAAAAAAAAAGCTATAACATTTAGCAATCACTTTACCATAAAGAAAACTGTATTTAGCAGAATTTTTAAAAATACACGATAAATTTTACAGAAATTCCTATTAATTGATAGTCATTCAATTACCAGAATTTATTAGATCATGAATACAATCATTTCTTCAATGAATGACATTAGCTGCTGCTTTAAGAACGAAAGTATCCTTCTAAAGCTATTTCTTTTTTAATTGAAAATTCCTGGGAAGAATATACCATTAAAGAGGAATATTAAATGTTTGATCTGATATTACTGATATTTTATACATGTTTTAGAAAATTTAAAAAATCCTAAACCATGCGCTTTTGTTAAAAATACCAGTTTGCCACAGAGGAAAGTCAAAACTATTTAACTATCTCCTGCTCTAATAAAGTCAATTTCACTTCCTGGAACATATAAAGGTACTCTCAAATAGACTGTTCTGAATATGAACCATACACAATACACATATCAAGAGCTGTGAGAGATAAGTGATAAACTATGACCTCAAGAAAGGTAGGTCACAAAAGCAAATCTCAGAAAAACACCTTCAGAATGCCTGACCCTTGTGTACTGATGGCTCGTTACTCAACTTTAAGCATGATTTAGTTCAACAAGCCTAGATAAATGAACGTATTAATCTGCAATATGAAGATGTTTTTCAGTAGTCCCTCCCTCCATGAAGCTTTCCTGTGCAAGTCATAGTCAACCAACTTGTAAGTCCAGTAGTCTTTAGCTCCTATAATTATCTCTTGAATCTATTTCCAAATCCACTGCTATCACCTCTATCATAAACAAATAGTTCTCAAAGCAGTACCTGTGCCCACTGAATGTGAGATGGGGCCAAGAAATACTTTTCTAACAAATTCTCAAGTGATGCAAATGGCACATGGACCACATTTTGAGAACACTGTCCTGAGATATTTCTTCTAGATTAGTATAATAGTCTCCTAACTATTCTAAGTACACCCACTTAGGTATCACCTTTAATCCAGTCCCTACTGCATATATTAAAAAAAAAAAAAAACTCAAATCTAATTACCACACCCATATTATCATCAGTCTCATGAACATGCCATGATCTTTACTTCATTCACAGTACTAACTAGTGCTACCAGACACTACTTCATCACCTAGTCAACTGATTATGATGAACTGTAGGCACCCCAAAAGGTTAACCCACAGAGTTGTTTTTTTTAACACACTGCAAATGACAAGTGCCTGTGAGGCTCCTCAGAAAAACTGAAATTTCTTTTATCCCTAATCTCGACAAAATATGGCTTTTCTGAATCACTGAATAATAAGCTTAAAAGAAATGCTGGTTAAGCCAACCTCTCCACTTCTAAGCCAGTCTTCTTTCCTCTGTGATGCTGAGGTTGAAGTCTCTGCAAAGCACATTTCTTCAGACAGCTGGTTCCCTTTTAGGATCAGCCAACAGGGAGATAATAAAAGGAGACTAGGCCAGAGGAGGAACACACATGTTCCTTTCCTTTCTGCTTCTTATCTAGTTACCATCACCCCAGCAACATTTCGTCTTACCAAAATCATTTGTTCCAGTAATCATAATCAGTATCAGTTTTTCCAAAACTCCCAGAACCAACTTCAATTATGACCAGACTGCTGGATAGAATGCCCTCTTTAAAAGGCTGAACCTCAGCTTCCCAGGGTCCCTTCAGAGACACCAGTACCAACCACGCAACATTCCCCTTCCCAGGTCTGAGCCCCAGCTCCACAGTCCCTTCTCTTAACTTCAATGGCAAAGCAGCAAGGCAGAATCTTCCTGCCACACCCCTAGGTCCTAGCTCCAAGGAGCCCCCGACAGGTCCTGAAAGGTTGGCTCCATCCCTGTCTGCTGATTCCCCTAGGAGCCAGAGATGACAAATGCTTCCTAAAGCTACTACCTCCTTGATATTCTCGTTTGCACTTTGTGTTCTCTGATACCTAGTTAACTTTTTATATTAAAATCTCTCTGGCAAAATAACCAGTGCAACTTCTATCTCCTAACAGAATTGTGACTGATAACGGAGTAAGACTTAAGAAAGAGAGGAAAGGCTCTGATTAGTCAGGCTAAATGAGCAAAGTCCCCATAAAGAGCTAGGCGCGTTACAGAGTAATAAGTAATAGGGCAAAAGACGTAAGGCAGAGTAGGGGTGCTAAGACAACCTCCAAGGCACCTATGCCTTTATAGAGAAGAAGAAATTCTAAAAAGCCAGAAGGGGCATGTTTAGTCTTCAGAAGCTCTGAAGAGGCTTAAAGCGGTGAAAGGTTTACAAGACGGCTGAACAGACTGGAAGGTATTAAAGACAAGGCAGACTGGTGGAAATTTCAATTACTACATTAAACCTTCAACTTGTGAAAAATGAACTCTGTGAGTTTATTTACGCTGTACATAACTATATTTAATTGGACCCACTTTTATGGCATAGTAAAATTCAGCAGAGCATTTTAACCAGTTGTTCATAGAGTAGGATAAAATTTGAAGATAAATGCACTGTTGGGAGGATTGGTAAGAAAAAGGTCTGGATCAAAGACACTGTCTCTGCCGCCAACACAGGAAATGCTTTCATTATGTGATTGCAGAGAAGTTTTTCAGCAAATGAGACAAAAGGTGCAGCTCTGATGTGGAATCCTACAGGAATTTGAACTCTAAATCATTTTGCGGCTCCATCACAAGTTTGAACTATGTACTGGGTTTATTTACAGTAGATAAAATACTGTATGAAGGAAAGTTTATGCATAACTTCAGTGTTTCTAATATTCAAGATTTTCCTGGGGATATAAGACTAACTGCTTTCTGTCTTTAGAAGTTTAGATTTTCATTACTGACTAAATTATCATTTTAGTCAATTTAGATCAATTGTATACTGCAAAGAATACTGGAAAACCATAGTTTTGAGAGTTTTCTTCAAATTGTATAAAGCTAAATGAACAATCAAAACTTTAAATTCTATCCATAAGTAATGAAATTATTTTATATACCTTTAAAGTTAACAAATAATTATCTTTCTAAATGGTACATATTACAGTCTTCTAGAACACACTAGTTCTAGAATGACAATAATACTTAACATTTTTAAATACTCAAATAATGAAAATCAAATTTTTTTAAAAACTCACCTGTTGATGGTGAAATACAATAATCATCCTCTACAGAGTGGCCATAGAAGTCATCATCTTCAAAATCTAAAATAAAAATACAAGAGATAAAAGTATTTACAAGTTTGTCTTCTATTTTAAGTTATTAATGAGGAAGCATCTGAATGCTCTCCAAAATAAATTACTGTTCACCTAAATTAAAGGAACTTAGAATGTCTACTTTTCAAAAAAAAAAATCCAAACATTGTACCAAAATTTGGTATTTACTGATTTACATATTTATAAAGACATATGTGTTTTTAGATTTTTAATTGACAAAGATCTGAAATAAGCCACCCACCCATTTTACTTACCAGGTGCCTGCTCTAAGCAAAGCATTTATTTTTCATACAACTGACTAGCGCAGGGTATACAATCAGACCACAAAGCCAGTTTCTCTTCATGCAAAGCTAGGCAACGCACAAAACCCAGCTTATCCTAAACTCCTCTCTGCTCTAGCTAATTGGTCTTTTTCCCTACTGATTAGAATATGGTCTTTGCCGAGGATTTCCTAAGGCTGTTTCCCTCTCCCAGCTAAGGTTCCAGTTCAAACACCATCTATCTGTGGACGTCTTCCCTGACCACTGCGGGTAAAGCAGCAAGCCCCTCCCCTACCGCCTGTATCCTCTAGCACTCTCCTCTAATTGAATGTCTTCAAAGCACCACACCTGGTTCACTCCATGAGACTATAAGCTCCTTCAGGGCACGACTCTCTAGACAACTACCTGACACGGGCCTGACATAAATTAATACTTGCTTTATTATCAATTAGTGAATCAAACAATCTGTTAAGTAAAAGCCCCTCAGGAACATAAACGCGCTTCCGTAAGTGTATTCAGTCACTGGACAAACACTGACACTGTGACAGGGGCGAGCGGAGGCATTTGGGGAACACGACTGAGCGACAGGCACATTCCCAGATCTCTGCAAACCTAAAATCAGAGGGAGACAGAAACCCGGTGGTTACAAAGCTATGTAACAAGTGTCTGAGTTACAAAGCTGGGTAACAAGTGTCTGACACATGATCAAGACTGACTCTGGAACACACATAAGAACAACAAAAACAGAGCTGGGAGTGGGGTGGCTAGGGAAAGATCCCCCGGAATATCATGTTGTGAACCAGTTCTGAAGGATAGTTAGCTAATTTCTGAGGGTACTCATGTAGCAGCAGCAAGAACTGCATGTTCAAAGGCTGAGACCAAATACTTATAACAAATAAAAATTACATAAATGTTATTACTCAATAAAAACATGCAATATTAAATAAACTTAATAATTTATTAAATTATTAAACAATAATCACCATCCTGAGTTAATAATAATTATTAGCAAATAAATGAGAAGCCAGTCATAAAAAACTTGGATATTAAAGAAAACAATTTCTTTTTACACTGAAATGGACCCTGAAATTGTTACAATTACTAAAAGATAAACACAATCCTTTCCTATGATCTCTGTAAAGTGGTTCTTTTCCTCAACAATGTTCTGGAGTATTTACTGCATAAAAAGCACTATGCTGGCTACTGGAATAAATATAAAGCATGGGTTTTGCCTTCCTGGGATATTTATTAATTAATGGGTGAGACTAGAGATCTCTTCAAGAAAATTAGAGATACCAAGGGAACTTTTCATGCAAAGATGGGCACAATAAAGGACAGAAATGGTACGGACCTAACAGAAGCAGAAGATATTAAGAAGAGGTGGCAAGAATACACAGAACCACACAAACAAGATCTTCACAACCTAGATAATCATGATGGTGTGATCACTCATCTAGAGCCAGACATCCTGGAATGTGAAGGCAAGTGGGCCTTAGGAAGCATCACTACGAACAAAGCTAGTGGAGGTGATGGAATTCCAGTTGAGCTATTACAAATCCTGAAAGATGATGCTATGAAAGTGCTGCACTCAATATGCCAGCAAATTTGGAAAACTCAGCAGTGGCCACAGGACTGGAAAAGGTCAGTTTTAATTCCAATGCCAAAGCAGGGCAACACCAAAGAATGTTCAAACTACCACACAATTGCACTCATCTCACAGCTAGCAAAGTAATGCTCAAAATTCTCCAAGTCAGGCTTCAACAGTACGTGAACCGTGAACTCCCAGATGTTCAAGCTGTATTGAGAGAAGGCAGAGGAACCAGAGATCAAACTGCCAACATACGTTGGATCATAGAAAAAGCAAGGGAATTCCAGAAAAACGTCTATTTCTGCTTTATTGACTACTCCAAAACGCTTGATGGTGTATATCACAACAAACTGTGGAAAACTCTCAGAGATTTGAATACCAGACCACCTTACCTGTCTCCTAAGAAATCTGTATGCAAGTCAAGAAGCAACAGTTAGAACTGGACATGAAACAACAGACTGGTTTCAAATTAGGAAAGGAGTACGTCAAGGCTGTATATCGTCACCCTGCTTATTTAATTTATATGCAGAGTACATCATGCGAAATGCCAGGCTGGATATAACACAAACTGGAATCAAGATTGCCGAGAGACATATCAATAACCTCAGATACGCAGATGACACCACCCTTATGGTAGAAAGCAAAGAGGAACTAAAGAGCACCTTGATGAAAGTGAAAGAGGAGAGTGAAAAAGATGGCTTAAAACTCAACATTCAAAAAAATAAGATCAGGGCATCTGGTCCCATCACATCATGGCAAATAAATATGGAAACAGTGGCTGACTTTATTTTCTTGGGCTCCAAAATCACTGCAGATGGTGACTGCAGCCATGAAATTAGAAGACTTGCTTGCTCCTTGTAAGAAAAGCTATGACCAACCTAGACAGCATATTAAAAAGCAGAGACATTACTTTGCCAACCAAAGTCCATCTAGTCAAAGCTATGGTTTTTCCAACAGTCACGTATGGATGTGAGTTGGACTATAAAGAAAGCTGAGTGCCGAAGAATTGATGCTTTTGAACTATGGTGTTGGAGAAGACTCTCTAGAGTCCCTTGGAATGCAAGGAAATCAAACCAGTCCATCCTAAAGGAAATCAGTCCTCAAACTCCAACAGTTTAGCCACCTGATTTGAAGAACTGATTCATTGTAAAAGACTCTGATGCTGGCAAAGACTGAAGGCAGGAGGAGAAGGGAATGACACAGGATGAGATGGTTGGATGGCATCACCAACTCAACGGACATGAGTCTGAGCAAGTTCCAGGGGTTGGTGATGGACAGGGAAGCCTGGCGTGCTGCAGTCCATGGGGTCACAAAGAGTTGGACAAGACTGAGTGACTGAACTGACTGACTGAGGCAGTCATGTAAAGTACTACCCATATATCAGAGAAAAACAAAATCAAAGTTAAGTAAAGGAACCAATAAGTTTGGGAGCACAAAATCTCTGTAATGAAGTTACAGTACTTTTGAGAATTCTTAAATTATTATCTGAGAGAAGGGAAAGCTTAACAGGGAAGACGAGAAATAAACCAGACACTTAAAATAAATAGAACTTTTACAAACAGGAAAAGGGGATGAACCTCTGATGCTATAGGAACAGCTTGGTTATGATGTCAACAACTGTTCCAAATAATCTGACAACCTGACCACTTGATCTGGGGTCAGTAAGGTGTGAAGATACTTGGCACTCACTCCCTCCAGTCAAGCACCTCTCCTTCAGGATGCCTTCCTTCACACAGAAGTTCTGCTGAACTCCTCCAATTCATTCTCAACAGTGCAATCACTTAAGTAGCTCCCACAGCACTTCATAAGCACACTCTGTAGCATTTCATAATCATCTGCTACTTGTGTATTTTCCCCTTTAGACTCTCTCAAACATCTTACTGTTGGTCCCCAAAACTCTCTAACAGTTCTCTAAGCACTCAGTTAATGTTGATTGAGGACACAATATCTATTAAAGAAATGAACAACTGTGATGACCTAGAGGGGTGGAATGGGGGGAAGGGAGAGAGGCTCAAGAGGGAGGGAATATATATAATGACTGATTGGCATTGTTGTACAATAGAAACCAACACAACAGTTCAGTTCAGTTCAGTCACTCAGTCGTGTCCGACTCTTTGCAACACCATGAACCACCGCACGCCAGGCCTCCCTGTTCGTCAGCAACTCCCGGAGTCCACCCAAACCCATGTCCATTGAGTTGGTGATGCCATCCAACCACCTCATCGTCTGTCGCCCCTTCTCCTCCTGCCCTCAATCTTTCCCAGCATCAGGGTCTTGTCAAATGAGTCAGCTCTTCTCATGAGGTGGCCAAAGTGGAGTTTCAGCTTCAACATCAGTCCTTCCAATGAACAGCCAGGACTGATCTCTCATATATAATGACTGATTGGCATTGTTGTACAATAGAAATCAACACAACACTGTAAAGCAATTTTTCACCAATTAAAAAAATTGTAAAAAGAAATGAATAAGTAGTAATTAGGCCTATTCAAGTCTTTTACAACGTATTTGCAAAAATATCTCCCAGGCTAAAGTCATTTCTCAGGTAACAGTGCTCCACAGGCAATACTTAACACCCACTGTAATATTTAAAAAGACTTCTTAAGTGATCCCCAGGAATCTAACATGTGCCAGGCAGACTGGATCACTGTCTGGAAATGCAGCACAGGATATCAGCTTCCCTCCACTATGATTAGCATAGTGATGTTCTAGAATAATTTGTTGGGAATGCTAATAACGATCACCAATACACTAAGCATGCTTCACACTCTGTACTCAGCAAAGCGATTGATCTTTATTCATTTGCATTCCTTCATATTTACAATTTTAGCTTGTATGATGCTAGGTGATGCCAATAACTATCCACTGCTTAGAAATGTTTATCCCAAACTAATTATCTTTTTAAACTCCTGGACAACATTCACATTTTTTTCCCCTTTATTTCACTTTTAAAATCAGCAAGTCCTTTTCAAAGCCCCCTTTCTTCTAATGCTACTTTTTACCCCCTAAAGTACATTTATATTGAGCATGACCAGCCAAGAATTAAATACACGCGGTCAAAATCTGATCAACTTACTCTCTGGGCCTTTTTAATACGTATTTTCTTCTACCATCTCCTAAGTTTTCAATTTAATTTGAAAAGCACAGAAAATAAGTTAACTAACTCAAGCCAGATTCTGCACTAAGTGTGTATGAACACACACACAAAATTTACCAAGTAAACCTGACAGTTACAGCAGAACATCTGAGTATAAGCGTTAAATCAATCAGTGCTCTACAAATAAAGTCTCATGGGCACTTCGGAAAGAAGGGTCGAGAGAAGCTACATAAAACCATGTAACCGACCTGGGAGGAAACAATGGGAGTGGTGATAATGCTGACGTGTGTGAGTATCACCGAATCCCAGCCTCTTAAAATGTCCTTCCCAAATGAGGCCCAGGAGCACTTCCCCCGCCCCAAATAAAATCAATCCCAGAGGACAAAAATCACGACTTAAAACAACGCCAGGTAACAACGCCATTCGCTGGCACTCAGACGACCTGTAACTTTCCCCAAATAAGCCTCCTCTGAACTCCAACCTGGCACCAATGAGGAGAAACTAACATATGGAAGGTGGTGCCAACCGTCTGCGAGCCCGGCTGGAATGGTGAACATAACTTCCTAGCATGACCCTGCCACCTACCTTCATCGTAGTTATAGCCTCGGACATTCCGATGCCTGGCCATGACAGCGGAGAGGGCGTTTGCCACAGTCCCTTACAAACTATCCGCTCAGATACTGGTAACGCGCCAACTGCGGCCCGAAGTACACCTATACGCCATCTTGGCTTTCCGCAGGCCTCAGCGCCTGCGCATGCTCGGCGTCTTATCTGCGTACGGCAACCTCTCAGGGTCAGCCGCCTCCCGGAGGACGCGTGCGTACTACGGGAACTCAAGGGAGAGGTAAGTTTCGGCGTGGCCCCGCCCACAGATAGCTTGATTGACGGGACGTTCGAAAGAGAAGACTTCCACCACGGAGAGTTTGTTGTTTTGAACCGAGTATTTCTCCAGGAATTCTTTGACCTACACCAGCGTTCCCAATTATTTTCCAAATTTGGCTTCTGATAATCTAGTGAAAGATGACTGTGCTCAATAAGAGCAGGAACCTTGTCTTATCCAACTTTCATCTTTGGGGCCTATTTAGGTTCTAAATAGGAGTTAACAAACTTTAATTTTGGTTTAAGAATTAGTTAAAATTTTAAAGACTAAAAAGACTCTTATTAAACGGCTGTATTTTCATTAATAACATAGCTATGATAGGTCACCATGCATTTGTATATATAATTCGTGTTTTCATGTATATGCCCCAGTCTGCATTAATACTTCTGATAAACAGCTATCTGTCTTTAGCTATGGGTGGAAAGGATTATCATCAGCGTCATAAAGGATTTATTGACCGTTCATTGAACACAATAACATGCTAAGAGTACTCAATATAGCTTTCAGACACAGCACTGGTCTTAAATGGTGATGAATGTTACTAATGAACAAATCTATAACCTTTTATTAAATGTCATTTCTTAGATCACAAAGTGAATGATGCTATGTAAAAAACCAACCTCTTTATTATACTGAAGAACTACACTTAGTTTTTGAAGTAGTGATACTTTACATTAAATTATAGAAATAAAAAGCTTACTTTCAGCTTTTTATTATCCATAATTGAAAGAGAAAATAATGATACAAATTCAATTCATATTTGAAACTGGCTTGAACGGTAATTTTTACATGTGTTTGAAAGTGTCTATCAAATGTTTAATTTTACACAAAAATAATTGCTAATTTTATATGATATAAGTGTTTCTTTATTTTACACTTTTCAGTTCAGTTCAATTCAGTGGTGTCTTTTTTTTTTTTGAGGGGTCAGGAGTCAGTGGTGTCTTGACTATTTGCAACCCCATGAACCACAACACACCAGGCCTCCCTGTCCATCACCAACTCCTGGAGCCCACCCAAACCCACGTCCTTTGACTCAGTGATGCCATCCAACCATCTCATCCTCTGTCGTCCCCTTCTTCTCCTGCCCTCAGTCTTTCCCAGGATTAGGGTCTTTTCCAATGAGTCAGCTCTTCGCATCAGGTGGCCAAAGTATTGGAGTTTCAGCCTCAACATCAGTCCTGCCAATGAACACCCAGGACCGATCTCCTTTAGGATGGACTGGTTGGATCTCCTTGCAGTCCAAGGGACTCTCAAGAGTCTTCTCCAACACCACAGCTCAAAAACATCAATTCTTCGGCACTCAGCTTTCTTCACCGTCCAACTCTCACATCCATACATGACCACTGGAAAAGCCAAAGCCTTGGCTAGATGGGACTTTGCTGACAAAGTAATGTCTCTGCTTTTATATATGCTGTCTAGGTTGGTCATAACTTTCCTTCCAAGGAGTAAGCGTCTTTTAATTTCATGGCTGCAATCACCATCTGCAGTGATTTTGGAGCCCAAGAAAATAAAGTCAGCCACTGGTTCCACTGTTTCCCCATTTATTTCCCATGAAGTGATGGAACCAAATGCCATGATCTTAGTTTTCTGAATGTTGAGCTTTAAGCCAACTTTTTCACTCTCTTGTTTCACTTTCATCAAGAGGCTCTTTAGTTCTTCTTCACTTTCTGCCATAAAAGTGGTGTCAATATCTAAGGTTATTGATATGTCTCTCGGCAATCTTGATTCCAGCTTGTGCTTCCTCCGCCCAGCTTTTCTCATAATGTACTCTGCAGATAAGTTAAATAAGCAGGGTGACAATATACAGCCTTGACGTACTCCTTTTCTTACTTGGAACCAGTCTGTTGTTCCATGTCCAGTTCTAACTGTTGCTTCTTGACCTGCATACAGATTTCTCAAGAGGCAGGTCAGGTGGTCTGATATTTTCATCTCTTTCAGAATTTTCCACACTTTATTGTGATCCACACAGTCAAAGGCTTTGGCATAGTCAATAAAGCAAAAATAGATGTTTTTCTGGAACTCTTTTGCTTTTTCGATGATCCAGCAGATGTTGGCAATTTGATTTCTGGTTCCTCTGCCTTTTCTAAAACCAGCTTGAACATCTGGAAGTTCTCGCTTCACATATTGCTGAAGCCTGGCTTGGAGAATTTTGAGCATTACTTTGCTAGCATGTGAGATGAGTGCAACTGTGCAGTAGTTTGAGCATTCTTTGGCATTGCCTTTCTTTGGGACTGGAATGAAAACTGACCTTTTCCAGTCCTGTGGCCACTGCTGAGTTTTCCAAATTTGCTGGCATATTGAGTGCAGCACTTTCACAGCATCATCTTTCAGGATCTGAAATAACTCAGCTGGAATTCCATCAGCTCCACTAGCTTTGTTCGTAGTGATGCTTCCTAAGGCCCACTTGCCTTCACATTCCAGGATGTCTGGCTCTAGGTGAGTGATCACACCATCATGATTATCTAGGTTGTGAAGATCTTTTTTGTATACTTTTAGGTAATGTTTATTTTGTAGCCTGTTTCTTCATCTGTAAAATGGAGATAGTGATAGTATCTAACTCAGGCAGATTCTTTACCAGCTGAGTCACCAGAGGAACATCTAAAACATAGAGTTGTGAATAATAATTTACACGTGGAATGAATAATAATTCCCTGTAGAAGGATTTCACACAGAGGAGACAAAGGATTTGGGCTATGGGTTGTAAATTTTGGGGAAGTGCTAAGTATTCCAGAAGAAGAGAGGGGCTACAAAACCATTGAAAGATAGGGGATGTTTCAGTAAGTTTATACAATCCATTTCAGCATCAACTCCTCATATAGCAAGGACACTTTTTTCATATGCAAATTTTATGATGTGCTTCTAGGTGGAAAGAAAAAAATCTGAGAGCCTTTCTTGGTGTTTCTTCAGTTACTTCAACTCAAAATAATCAATATACCAAAGAATATTTTCGGGTGAGATGCTCTGAACTCCTTTGGTACGCAGTAAATGCAAGTTCTCTACACCACTAATTGGAATGCTTTATATATGCGTCTCCAGCACCCTAATGTCTGGCACTTTGAATGTTTGATAAATAAAATAATGAATTTTATTATATTTATATAATATAGCTATATAAATTATATTAAAAATAGCTATATAAATTTTTGTTTAATAATTTTTATATTAATATAAAATTTATAAAATTTATATTATATAAATTATAAATAATGTATATTATTTTTATAATAATTTATAGCTATGAGATATTTAACAAATACCGCAAACTATACAAATGATTTATTTTATTATCAATTTTTTTAAAAATTAAAAGAGAAAGCATAATTACATCATAAAGTTTTTAGCACCTTTATTGAAGAATCGTTAACAAGGAATAAACTGCTTTTTTTTTTGTCTTCACTTTGCAGCTTGCAGTTTCTTAGGATTCATTTGGCAATGTCAGTATTTCCTGGAGTGCAGTTTGTTTTCTGTTATCTATTGTAAACTGATCATTTTAAACTTAAATTTAAAATTTTCCAGAACACTGCTCTTGACAGCTACTGAAATACTGAATAGGAATTTTGAAAAATACATTATGATGACTTCTATACTCAATAATTTTTTTTTTTTTTTTGGTCTACATCTTGAAGCGGTTTGCATGATCTTAGTTACTCCACACAGATCAAACCCATTTCTCCTGCAGTGGAAAGTGCAGAGTCCTACCCACTGGACACCCAGAGAATTCCTTGTAATTCTTAAAATGAAATAAAGGAATTGATCTTAATCATTAAGAAAGGAACAGCTGGAAAAGAGGGAGAATCATTGTAATTCTGACAGTCAACTCAGCATATGAGAAAAGTTCTAGAGTTTTCTAATTAAGTGCCCATACTCCAAACAACAAAATGAGGTATGTAAGTAGAGGATCTGTTTGGGGGGTCCTTTGCAGTTCTGTGATTATGATTATACATTAATAATGTACATGTATAGTCATGTTTATCATTTCTAAATATCTGTAATACCATAGACAAATGACTTAATTTTCTTCCTGAGCTTCTAAATTAGTTCTATAACCCTCTGTCTGACCTAATAATATTCTTACACTTCTCTTTGGAATTTCCTCTGACCACCTTCATGTGTAATCCTCTTTCTTTCTTTCTGTCTGTCCATCTCTCTCTCTCTTTTTTTAAAAATCATTTAGCTGAGTGAAAACTGGCAAGATCCAATGAATAGATTCTTAATCAAGATAGAGATTTGCCCCCAAAGGGCTTGAGGCTGTCCAGGTATTCCATAGTCCACAGAAGCACTGACAGCATAACTAAACAAACAAGAATGTATTCAGAGACGCTAAAACAGATCTTCAAAGGAATTCGGTAGGTGCTTTTTAGATTTCTGTGTGGTATTATTGAGCTTAATGCAGAACATATCAAAACTTTGAGAAGTCAATGGTAGGGTCATGAACTTCATAAGGCAGAATGACTTTACAAGAACAAAATAAAAGTCAAAGTGTTCTATATTTAGTTGTGAACTACACTTGATAGGGAATACCAGAAAAGTAATAATGCACAGGCAAAACCTTCTTCTTACACAGATATATTCTTTCAACCACCAATCCTGGGCTGTCAAGCACTCTGTCATGAAATACAATAATAAATATGGTTCAGGAATTCTTTATAAGATTCACTTTTTCAAGGTTCATGTTATTCTAAGTGTTATAGAAATAACTAATCCTCCAGTTTAAATTCTTTCAATGGAGCCACATTGCTTACAAAATA